TATCGTAACTATCCAAAATAAAGCTCATGCCAATGGCCTAAGTGGTCACCTTTAATATTAAAAAAAAAAAAAAAAAATTACTGGATCCCAAAATCTATCTATATTTGTATATTATTATACAGTATATAGTATACAGTACTATATACATATAATAATACACAAATATAGATTGATCTCGGTATCTAGTAATCAGATTTTTGTAATTTTGGGCTTGTTAGAATTCTTTCTCTAAGAGGATTATTTTGGTAGTTAAATCATCTGAATTGGTCTAATAAGTTAAAAGTTATTTAAAATTAAATTTTAAAATTTAATAATAAATAACTTCTGTTTTACTAGGCCAATTTAAATGATTTAACTACCAAAATGATTCTTTCAAAGAGAGAATTCTAACAAGCCCAAAATTATAAAATACTGATTACTAGATACTGAGATCGATCTAGATTTGTATATTATTATACTATATATTAATATTTCAGGTGAAATTGTTTTTTAATTCTGAAATATTTCGGATTTAACACTGTGATCCAAAATAAAAATTCCAAATTCCGTATTCAAGATGAAAATCTGATATAAATCTGATAAGGTTCTATATTTTCGATATTCCGATATAAATCTAATATAAATAAATATATACTTTTTTTAGTGTGATCCCATGATTTGTATAATATTATGTTAAAAAATATATTACGAAATTTTTCAATTACCTGATCATAAATTACACATTTATTGAATCTATGTATCGAAATCAAGTTAAGACTGGAAACTAAATAGCCATAGGATTGGTTAAAGACTAATCATATTTGGTCTTTCAAAGAATAATCCATTTCTGGTTGCTAATATATGATGCCTCTTTTTTTTTTTTTGCTTACCGGTTTGCCAAAATTTTATGGTTACTATATTTTACTAAAAATAAGCACCCCTTTTATTATAAGTGTTGATTATTTTTAAAAACAAATTATTTATTTCGATTTTGGTCAAACCTAATTTTTTTTTTGCAATTTAGTCAACAGGAAGTTTATCAACAATCATATGGGCAATCCTGATAGTAATAAGAAAAGGCTAGTATATATATACATACGTATGTATGTATATATGTATATACAACTCCTAGATGATAATTCAGCAAGAGTTAAAGATAAATAATTCAATGAGTTACTTATTTAGAATATTATAGCATAACTACTAATATAGGGACAAAGACAGGATGTGTTTGGTTAAAGGTATACTTGGTGCTTTAAACAATTCTGATATTAAAAATTTTATTGATTTATAATGATTTTTTTTTAAATCTTTAGGATTCAATAGTCTTTGAAATAGAATTTTTTTATTAATTTCGAATCAAAGAATTAAAAAATTTATATTTATTGAACCACATTTATTGGGTTATACATATTGTATATTGACTAATCTAACATTGACTTAGCCTCTTTTTCAGGATCCCAATTGCCTTTATTAACATTGCTCTTGAAATCATTATTTTGAATATTACTATCTTCCTCTTCAGAAGACTCGAAATTAGCAGTAAAAACTATTTCGCCTAAGTCATTTGTAAAATCAGCTACATCAATATTCAATAATTCCTTAATTTTAAGTGTTTTTTCTTCCAGAAACTCATTATCTTGTACTTCTTTACTGGTGGGTTGTTTTTCTTAATCATAATCATCATAATTGCCAAAATCCATATTATATAATGTTTCATACAATTCATCATCATCATTATTAGCTGAAAAATATTGTAATTCTTTTTTGGAGTTCGCAAGATAGAAGGCAGAAAGTTTCTGCATATTTTCAATTTTACTTAAAGAAAGTCATGTGTGATGTTTACCATAATACCACCCCAATGTTGACCAAATTCTTTCACACCTAGCTGCATGTGGTATTACTGAGAATAGTTTATTAGCTAATTGGCAAATATGATTTTTATTTTTTAAGTAATTGTCTTCAAGAGATATCCACCACATCATAGAAAATTCATTATTAGCAAAAGATATATCAAATAGTGCAGCACGGCATCAATAACTTCTTAATTGAGACATTAACATTTTTCTTTCTTTTTGAGTTTTACCTAATTTTTCATAGAAGTTATCAGTCGCAAGAATAATACATCGAAATGTTTCTTGTGCCTATATGATATCTAAATCAAAATAAATTTACTAATAAATAAAAAAATTAAACTGTAAACAAAATAACAACTACTTACCAGTATAACCAGGATATAAAAAAAAGTATAAAATATACTGTATGCATTATTATCGAATTCAGCAAATCTTCTATTATATATCACAATTGCTTAGCAATGAAAAGTACGATAATCATTTTCTGGAAGTCTCTTAATAGCTATTCTTAAACGAACTAGACCAACAAAGCAATCAGCCAATAAGCAATCTTGTGATTCAAGAGTTGATATCACTATTTTAATAGGATAAAGCACAAATGCCAAAGCTTTTAAATTATCAAAAAATGCTCTAGTGTGTAAGATTGCTTGTACCAAAGTATTTACAATATCTGAATTATTATTATGAATCTATAAAATTAATTAATAAATTAAATTATTATATACAACTTTAGAATTTATATTAATAATTGTAAGCAGAATTCACAGTTATCATGTGCAAAAATTTATTAAAGTATTAATTTATAATAAATAACAATTTTACTTAACTATTTCTAATAGAACTTTATGCCTTATAATAAAGAATACACAATCATATATAGTATGCTAACAAGTATCTACCCAATGTTTAAGACCACCACCTTCGATTAAATTTTCTTCTGCCAGAGTTTTAAGGGTATTTTCTATAATTATATTAATTAATAATTGTTTTTGATTTTTGTTTTATGAACTTTAAATTCTAGCAGCATACTTTAAATAATATTTTGAATTACCTGCAAGATGGTTTTTTTTAAAATAACAAATCAAGGTTTTACAATGCTTTAGCATGTGATCTGCGAATGATATTTTACTAATATCTTTTGAAATAAGGTTAATAGTATGGAAAATACATTGGATATTTAAAATATTTGGATATTGTTTTGCAATAATATAACGTATAGCCCTAATATTAGCACCTGAATCTGTTACAATAGCCAAAAATTTTTCAGTACTGATTTTTTCCAAAATATTAGTAATCTCTTCTGCCAAAAATTCTTGCATATGTCTTTCACTTGACAGATTTCGAAGACTTCACAAATATTGATAGCGAGCTGGTGTATATACTACGAAGTTCCAAATCGACTTATTAGAAAGATCATTCCAGCCATCACATGCTAAATAATAATCCTTTTTAATTATATTTTAAGTATATATGTATAAACAAAAATAATGATGCCAAATAAAACCTGCAAGTAATCAATGCATAAAATCAAGTTTTATTTGTGTAACCAAATAAATAATTTACCAATAGTTAAATTTTTTGAATCAGTTAGTTGTTTGTTTATTGCCTGATTAACAAATGCTGTTTCTTGTGCCAAATAGCGACCAGAAAGAACATCTTTAGACGGGTTCATATGCTGGGCATAATGTTTTTAATAACTCCACAAAAAATAGATTTCTAATAATATAAAAAGTGATTCCACAAACAATAAATGCCTTTACTAATGCTCTATTTATATATATCTTTAATTTGATCTTGTATTAGCTTGGTACTTTCAACAAAGTCAAAAAGTTGAGACTGAATATTAAATTTTCATTTTTTTGATGTTGATGCATCAAGTGCCCTTACTGTTAATCGCTCTAAAAATAGGTTGTGAACATTTAGTAGAACTTTATTACACGAATTATCTAAATGATCTTCAAGGATAGCAGGAGAGCCTTTGTACCAAAATTCATTACAATAGTTACATGTTGTACTCCAATGACCTTTAGAGATTTGGTTTCCTTGCTTAATATACGTTCCCTATACAATTGACTTTGGTTTATCACTAGATTTTCGCATAGATATATCAATTGGAGTAACAGACATATTAGAGTTTTCTGCCATATTGTAATTTTGAATTTCAAAAACTCATTTAATAGAATTTTTAGCTATTGCTATTTAAAGATATTTTTAATTAATATTCCAGATTATGATATATTTAATTTCTCTATGATAAACTTCTTAATACAGTAATAAAGGAGTTACAATATATCAAAAGCAACATATAAAATGTATATATATAGTTAACTGCTTTGATTCTTTTTTCTTTTTTTTTTAGCAATTTGCTAGCAGGTTTAGTATGCTTTGTTTGTTTTTTTTTTTTAAAAAAAAAAATTGTCATCATTCATATAAAATTTTTTTAAAATCTCTTTGAAATTTTTTTTTTTAGCAATTCGTTAGTAAATAAAATAAAATAAATAAATAAATAAATACAAATATAAGAAAAAAAAAAAAGCAATACGCATATGACATCCTAATTTATTTCACATGAAAATACCTAAAGTTCTTTCTTGAAATTAAACCTGAAATCTTCATAAATACATTTTTATATTATTCTAGTTTATATAAATTATACTATGAGATTATGGATTAAATGATACTGACTAGATCACATATTCTTAAAAAACCAACCCTTTATACAGCAGAAATTTTTGAATCAAAGTTAGTATATGAATGATAACTGATTACAGAGTTTAAATAAAAAATAAACCTTTAAGCTTTTTATTCAAATTAATGGGATGCATTTAAGTACAGTACCCAGATCTAAATATTAATGAGAACTTTACTATATGGGTGGTTAAGGTTTGTTAAACTTGTTATTTCTTGTTATTTTATACTATAGAAATTTTCCAAATTTGATACTAACTGCAAGGTCAATTATATATATTCGATAATTATTGTTAATGATTCATCCATATAGGTGGTTAAGGTTTGTTAAACTTGTTATTTTTTGTTATTTTATATGATAGAAATTTTCCAAATTTGATTACTAACTGCAGGGTCAATTATATAGAATCGATAATTATTGTTAATGATTCATCCATATGGGTAGTTAAAGTTTGTTAAACTTGTTATTTCTTGTTATTTTATATGATAGAAATTTTTCAAATTTGATTACTAACTGCAGGGTCAATTATATATAATCGATAATTATTATTGATTAGTTCGTCATAAAACCTGATTTGATGAAAAGACATTGAAATGAATTTTTCAAGTTTCCATAAGTTGAATTCTTATACAATTTTATGTGTTAGATATTTCTATTGGAAAAACATGTTTATTATTACTTATTCAAAACTTCTTTTTTTACATTTCAAGAGTCTGCTAGCTGACATGAACGGTCTTTCTAAAATTCTGCATAAACTGGCTTATGTTCTTAGCATACAAGTTTACTTCTAGTAATAAACCAGGTTTAATATGTAATAGATAATATTGTCATATTTACAATATTGGATCATGGGCTATTACAGATTTATCAATTATTTTTGGAAGTATTAAAAATTTTAAAAATTTGTATAATTGGCGAAATTAATATCGCCACTATTTTAGATTCAGATTTGGCAAAATATTTAGTTTTGCTCGAAACATTAAAGTATACAATGATAAAGTAAAACTTTACAAGCAAGATATATCAATTAGTTGCAATTAATATAATTTTTTAGGCTTTGGAATAGGTATAAATATGCTATCAATACTGTTTTTTTTTTTTGTTCTGTTTTCTTTTTTCGACATCTGTGTTTTTCTTTTTTCTTGTTTTTTTTTTTCTGTTTTTTCTTTTTCTGTTGTTTTTATTATACTTCTTTTTATAAAATTCCTCTTCTTTTGTCTCATGTCTCTTGAGAAGAAGGAAAAATTAGAAGGAAAAGTAGGCAGTTTTGACATGGCTAGCAACTACTATCCTAGGATCTAATATATATACTTTCAGAAAGTTAAAAGCCAAAAGTAAGAAAAAGAGTTGCTGCGGCAAATCATATTTGGGCACCTTAGGGCAACCGAGTAAGCTTTTATTGAGAAGAAGGGGGGTTGAAAGCCTTAGCTTAATACTTTGTATAAATAATACATATCTTTCATATAATAAAAGCAGGATTGCCAAATTAAAAAAAAAAAAAAAAAATTAAACTTTTTAATAAAAACACAGACAAATTTGTTTGTATTACAATTTAAAAGATAAGTAATTCATGTTATGTTTTACTATAATTACTCTCTGGCTAACTCATGAATTATTAATTAAAAAAACTAATAGTATAAATTTGAATTATATAATTTATACTAAACTATAAATAGTAATTTATATAACTATTTTAATAAAAATACACTGATATAACAATGTTACAATAGATTAACTAATTTATTATTTATAGCAAATAGTAATAAATTTTTTTTTATAAAAAAATAAATAAAATATAAATAAAAAGTTAATTAATAAACTTAAAAAAAATACTGTAAATTAATATACAGTATAGTTAAATTAAATATATTTATTTTTGTATATTATTTCAGGTAGATGCTTTTTGCTTCTAGTTTAGTGTGTCTAACAGAGAAATTTCTCTTAATCCCTACTAGCATACTTCCAAGAGTTCATATTTTAAGCCATACAGCTACCTTTATTCAATTAGATAAGTATCTCAAGCCTAAATGCTGCTGTAACTAGCTAGTTTTCTGCAACTTTGAAACCTAGGTCTTAACATATTAAATTCAATAATTGTGCTAATAACTGTACTCCCCAATATGGTGACAAGACACTTAGACATGTTTCGCATATACTTCCAGTACTTAGAGTAGTATTATGAGGCTTCTTGCATAACAAGTACATTATTGTTTCTTTTTATAATGATTCTCGGCAATTGTAGCTCAGTTACAACTATATGCACTTATATTAGCTATACCTATATTGGTGGTCTCAGGTTCTCTTAATATCTGAAGACTTCTATGCAGGTATAATCAGAGCCTATTAGATTTATCAACACATATATACCTTTATGTTTCAACTTCTTATTGGCCAGTGAGTTTAATACAATGCCAGAGGTGTTTCAAATTTGGTAAAGCCAATTCTTTATCACAAGTCCCTTTGTGTTTTATCACTTTTCTCACTACTCTAATTCTAGTTACTATCTGCTTATCCTCCTAATCAAGATTTCCAATGCTATCTTAGAGGTTGTTGGTACTACCTATGCCAATCAAATATTTATATGACAACCTTCAAATAATAGAACCTTCAGTAATATTTACTTGTTATACATAGTATTATCTTTCTACAATAGATCTCTTTTCAGAAATTTCTATTCCAAATAAGTACTTACTTGGACTTCCTACATATGAGTATATTCAAATATTTATAAATAAATATATTTACTA